AGGGGAAGTTTGGAGGTATGTTGATCAAAGGTTGCAATATCTAAGTTATCAAGAGTAAATTCAATGGGCCAGAGAGATAGCTCAGTGGCATAAGCTCCTGCCTGGCAAGTGCAAGGTCCTGAGTTCAATCCCTGGTACAGTAAGTTCAGGAGATCTATTGTACAACATGATGACTTAGCTAACCATGTGTTACATGCTTGAAAACTGCTGACAGTAGATTTTAACAAAGAAACACATGGGACAGCACCTACGTTAGCTTACTGTTCTTTGTACAATGGATACTTTATTCAAAACATCATACTGTACAGGTTAAATTCATACAATTTAATGGCAATTTAAAAATAATGAGGATTAGGGATTTAAAAGAGTAATTAATAGAAATGAATTGACTAAGTTTTTTAAAAAATCAGCTCTCAGGCTCCCCCAGATATACTGAGTGAGGCTGCCGCTGTGAGGGTCTCCCAGTGGTCTGGATGCACCATGACTCGGCGCAGGTATGAGCTGTGTGCCTTCCTCGGCACTGCCTAAACTTCCGGAGAGCCCCTTAAGAAGGTAGAATCCTCAGTTCCACCTCCAGTTCTTGGAATCAGAATGCATGTGTGTGTTAAGGAGGATCCATAGGCATTTTAGCAAATTCTCAGGGCAACCTGTACCTTTGCTATGGATTGAGAACAAGGAGTCTAGAACCAACTACTCTCTTGATCTTTACCAAAGGCCTTCCTATGATTGTTTGGCCCTTGACAGCTTGCCCTTTGGCAATCTCCTTCGAATATATCTTTTTTATTTTAGAGAAGGGTCTGCAGGGTGTTCAGGGTCTTACTACTAGATCGGACTCAGTGATCTGCCTGTTTAGAGCCTCCCACGACCTGGGATTACAGGTGTATGCCACCACAGCCAGTCTCAATTGCAGTCTCAGCGTACCCTGGGGGCAGGGCTAGCATGGCAGGCCCCTTCAAATTTATCTTGAATAAGTAAGAGGTTAAAAATAAAGAGGAAAGAAATCAATCCACTTTCTTCCCAACCAGATTTATGATAAAGATTTTGGAGGAGGCCACATAATTAGAGTGAGATATATAGGATTATCGATGGATTACAGTTCTCCATGAAATACATTTCCTCTATTACCATGGTTAATTAGGAATAGACCATAAAAGCATCCCTCTAGAAAGGCTATTAGAAACATAATGTAATGTTGTCATGTGCAATTGAGAATGACACATATCATGACTCCAGAAAATGAAGACTGTTCATTCCCTGAGATTTGGAAGCATACTCAAGCACAAATCCTCTTAAATTGCTAGGATGGATTTTCTTTGCATATTCGCTTAGGCTTCTCAACTTCTTCCTACTTTGGAAGAATTTAGCAGTAGCAGTAGGCATGAAGAGAGGTTAGACATTAGAGTCATCTTCTCTCATTAACACATCCCTTAATCTTTGAACATGGGCTTTTACACACAGAAGAAAAAGGAAAACTCATGAGAAATTGCAAGTTCTATGGTAGAATTATATAAAATTCTGTATTTCTGTCTCAATATTTGAAAGATGGGTCACATTTTATTTCATGAAATGGGACTGTGCTGTAAAGGAAGTCTCCATGCCAAAATCATACACTGCTTGAATAGCAACTGTGTAATTTTAACATTCTCAAAAGCTATAAATGTTTTACCTCAAGGTAAATATTTTAATTAGTCTAAAAAGTCATTTTTCTTAACGCTACTAGCAACTTTGCCCACAACCTCCTCTCCAGACATGCTAGAAGGTGCCAAAGAAAAGCAGAGGCTGGAGCAGCAGTTCCTGTAAAACATGACTGAGGAAATACCAGACAGAAAGTAACCTACAGAGGCCCAAAACATAAAAGAGAAAAGAAAAGAAAAAAACAAAAAAAAATTGTCCTTGGAAGTGCAAGCACTTCTGCAGAACAATTAACTTAATTAACCAGACACCATGAATATTCATAAGGCTGTTAATGTCCTCCACATTCAAACAGATAAATGTGATGTAATGACTTCCTAGTCAAGCATATCTAAAATTCTCTTGAAAATGGCACCAACACTTTGGTTCTTTGCCTGAAATATCATAGAAATTAACAGTCCCTGGGCAATATTTTATTCTCCTCAAATTAATTGGAAAGCATGAATTTATTTATGCAAACTCTATAGGAATATATGGTTCACAGCCATCCGTATGTGGATTGAGCCTTGTTTTACAACAACTGGATTGCTTTATTTTATTTTTATGTCCTCTCAGGCTATTTCCTGTTTACCCCCCTCCCACTTTTAATCGGAATCTTTCTGTATAGTTCCTTACCACCAGTTCCCATAGCAACAAACACCATTCCTAATGGCCAGCAGTTCAAATGCAGGCTTCCCCACATCTGAGCCATTTGAGTCTGTCCATAATTCAGCAGCTTAGGCTGTTGGTTCAGTGGAGTAATTTACTAAACGCCCTCCCTCTGGGTGTCTCTCTCCAGGAGGCAAATGGTTTAAAAGGCAGACTGTCTCCTCCTGTTCAGCTTGGGAACTTCCTTCCTAGCTCTTTTTCCTATTTGCCATCAAAAGCCCTGACTAGGCATAACATCCTCATATTAAATACAGCCCACACATGACTTTCTCCTCCTCTTAGATAGAATTAGGAAGCTGTAACTCCTGTCTAGCGACCAGAGTTTTGGCAGCATTCCGTATCTTCTAAACAAAAGCATTACAGTGGCATTTTTGCAAATACCCACTGGATTCAAGGGAAACTTTCAAAAATCAGAAATATGCTTTAAAATAGAACAGATCACAGCTATTTCTTTATAAAATCAGAGTTATATGTGAAAAACACAAGCATAAACTACTGGTTTGGGTAGCCAACTACTCACTTGATGTCAATTACATACTTCTGTGGACATTTCTCTTTTCATTTTGGAAGCACAGCAATTAACAAATGAGCTCAGGAATTTAAGCACAAATAAAGAGAAACAATGACCTGAATACAGCACATTCATTTGTATGGTAGGAAATGTTGGGAATGTACCACTGACTGAATAGAAAAATCAGGCCAGGGACATGGCTCAGTGGAATAAGTGCTTCCCTGGCAATCACAAGGGCCTGAGTTCAATCCCCAGTTTCGCACAAAAAAAAAAGGAAAAATCAGAACTACTGAAATCACATGTAAAGGTCAAAAAACTAAGATGGTATGACAAGATGCCCCCAAATGCATCTGTCTTCCTTGACTTGAGGTCACTTTGTTGTCTTCTACATAGAAACCATTATAGATCTTTCTATATATACCTTGCAATTATCAGGATATATTCTAGTATCCCTCTTTTAAAGTTCTTGCTATAATGAAAGACTTTATATTCTAAAAATACATTCAGATATCTTATTCCTTTATCAGTTTAACAGCAAAAATATACTGAAGTCCATACTAAATGTATGTTTATCAAATAGAATGAATTTTCTTTCAACCATGTCCATTCATTTTTATTTTCATATGAAAAATCATTCCTGCTTTTGTTTCAGCAATGATGTATGACATTTTAAAAATACAAGCACTTTCCTAATTATTACTTAAATAAGGGGTAAACAAATCATATAATAATATTGAAAACATCATCCTCTCCTTAACAACAGTCTTAAAATTTTTTTATGTATTTAGTACAGGGTCAATAGGGTGTCACTACATAGATTGGACTAGTAGTGATCCTCCTGTTTTCAGCCTCCCAAGAGCTGGGATTACAGTCACGCACTACCACACCCAGTCTCAGTCCTCGTCTCAGCAGTCCTAGGGAGTGAGGCCAGCACAGCAGGCTGGGGACTGAACTTGGGTCCCTGTGTCTGCCTAAGTAGGCACTTTAAGCTGCTGAGCTATCTGGCCAGCTCATGAACAGCAGTCTTGCTCTAACCGGTTATTCTGTATCTTTGTACAAAACGGACACACATACACACACACATACAACTCCTTCAGATTGCTCTCCTAGTGGGAAATACCTTTTTTCTTTGCTGCTGCTTCTGTAGCCAATTTGGACCCCTTCCTGTGGCCGTGTACACAGCATTGGGGTCTGGCCTCTTTGACTCCATCCTTTACCATCCAACTGTTTCCTTCCATTCCTCAGACACACTTGGGATTTCTCTTTGTCTTTATCATTTTTGCAGCTTAGAACGTAGCTCACTTTCCTTTTTCATGGTCTGATCCTACCCATTTTAAGGCCTGATTCAAGTGTTCTTTATCCTAGAGTCTTTTAAATATACATTCACTTAATCTATTTGAATGTGTCCTTTCCTATTTAGCTTGGAAACTTCCTGCCTACCTCTTGTTCTTATTCTCCATCAAAAGCCCTGGCTAGACATAACACCCTCATACTGAATACAGCCCACACATGACTGTCTCCTATGTGATGGGATCTGTAAGCTCCAGCTCATAGCTAGTAACCCAGGATACTCCCTGGATCATGATCTCCTCCAGGAACCAGAACTGCCACAGTAGATGTAAGGCGATTAGCCTGATCCTGAAGGAGTCACCCTCTAAGGCCTGGCTTCTCTCTCCAGTCAGAAGGAATCTCCTGGTTATTCTTAAGGGTAACTGTTCCTGCTTCAACTCCGTGACTTCCACATTTTACCTCATGTGATATAAGAACAGCTTGATGGGAGTGGCTCTGTTTTACAACAACATCCTGTCTGGCACTATGCAACCTAGAAACTTTTTGATGGAAGAGAGGATAATAATTCTATGGGCTGTTTAAATTATGTGTTTAAACACTTTGTCCACACTTAGTACTACCACAAAACCTTAAAGTGAGTATTATGGGTTATTGTTACATTACAGGTTAGAAAAATAAGGCTAAAGAGATAAAAAGTGCTTGTTTAGAGTTTTCATTTGCTAGTGAAGAGGTCAGAAGTTACACGTGGAGTTACAGACCCGAAGTGCATGCATCTAACTTGTGCCACTCAATCAAGGCTAGGAAGCAAGAAGGGAAGGGTGGAGGAGGATCCGCGGAACACTTCTGCGAGCACCCTTGCCTGCTGGTATTAAGCCGAGTGGAAGCTGTGCTCGGACCGGAGTGAAGACTTGGTCTGTGTGCATCCCGGCGCTCTCCTGGGCTCGGAGAAGTAAACCATGGGCTACCTCACTAGCAGATCCATCTCCTCCAACACAGACAACACTAGGGAAAAGAAATTGGGTGAAAGAAAACAAGATTTCAAAGCCATTCATAATTATTCATAAAGTCTAGATTTTGAAATATGTTAGCAATTTTATAGGTGCAGGATTACTCAACACAACATTCAATATTCTAGTATGTGTCAATGGCTAAGAAGACCTAACTATTGTACAGAGAAATTTTACCTTTATAAATGCAAACTCTAGATAATACCCACAGAAGAATATTTTAAATGAGTTGAGACATTAAAGCAGTTGAATATATTAACTCACATCTAACCTGTATTTGCTTGTTAACAGCCAAAGGCGTATCATTCTCATTGTGTTTATTAATAATGCTGCCATCTGCAATTTATTAACACACAAAAGTAATAAAATTCTCAATAAATTCTGAGAAGAGAGCAATAAAAATCATGTAAAATAGGAAGCTTTCATTTAGAGAACTGCTAATTATCATTAGGATATGGATGTAGTCATTGTAAGCATGACCTGGTTTTCGTCTACTTGACATTATTGCGACATGCCTCATCTCAATTTAGCATCGGTCCCATTTGATCCTGGACAGTATTGCTAGTGGGTTTATTTGATTTTTTTTTTTATGTATTTGGTACAGGGTCTACAGGGTGTTCAGAGTCTCACTATGTAGATCAGACTTGTAGTGATTGTCCTGTTATCAATCTCCCAAGCACTGGGATTATGGGCACCCGCCACCATGCCCAGTCTCAATCACTGACTCAGTGTGCCCTGAAGGCAGGGCAGGCCAGGGATTGAACCCCCTGACTGCTACACTCTGCCTAAGCAGGCGTTTTACTCTGCTGAGCTATTTGGCTGGCCCACTAGTGGTTTTTTGAGACCTAACAGTAAGTAGACTTTGGAAGAAAAAGATCCACAGAAATGATAGCTAAAATTCAGAAAACTTTCTCATAATCATTTGTATCTGAAAGACACAAAATAATCTTCACTATCAACCTATCACCAATTTGTCCACAAGGAAGAGGATGTTGCGTGATTGTAAGTAGGTGTCACAACTCAAGGGCTATGAAGGTCCAGCAGGAACACCCTAATGTGCTCAGTCTGAAGGCGTACGGCTGCTCAGCTACAGCCCACTCACACCATGTGGGAAGCCTAGAAAAGTAGATCTGATTTTTCTAGAAAAACCAGATTTGATTCTAGTATGAATCTCCTAACTTACAAATACTAGCTCCCAGCATGCATTGTACCTTAAAAACCCATGTGCCAAGCCAACGGGCTGCAGTCATTCATCCCCGAGAAACAGTTGTTTCCTAACAAGTTTAGGTGGTGCAGAGGCTGAAGCTCTCTTTTCCATCAATGCCCTCCAACTCCTTGTAAGGCTTCTTGCCTTTCACCTTGTCAAGGATAGCACCTTTGTCTCCACATAGTCTTGACAACCCAGGCCCATTCTGGTAGGAGGAGAGATCCATGGCACTTATCATTTGTGTCTAAACTGATTTTGGGGGTTCACCAGGTGATGACTGATTTAGAGAAACAGGACAGTGGTAAATGTCATATGCTATGTTTAATTTGTACTTTGCCTGCTTGATGTCAAAAGTGTTCAAGAGCTTTCCAGAAGTTCTATGAACTTAGTTATAAATGTTGATCTAAACTTCTATACATGCCGACATGTATGTCTGATCAAAAAGGCCACATAAATCATCTAAAACCCATCTCATTTAGAGCCAAAAACTTGACTTTTAGGCATACAGGATGGCAGCACTTGCCTCTTGGACTCTTGCATGCAGTTATTGCATACTGCATAGATTAACTCACCCCAAGAGTTAGTAGAGCTGGCCTTTCTATGAGCATTGTCTGCTGCAAAACCTTTCACATCTTGCCATAACACATTCTGTGTTGAATCTTTTGAAATCAATACAAAGGACAAGACAATACAGTAACATTTAGTGAATGCTACTATGCATCGCAGGCACTGTTCTACCCTCTTTCTCTGTATTGATTCATTTAATTTGAACAATAAATGTGTACAGTAGATACGGATGGATTCCTAACTTACAGAGTAGGAAACTAAGGCATAGAAAGACTAGCTTTTCCATGACCCCATCAGTAATCAGTGATACACAGGGATTTGAAACAAGACAATTGGCCTTAGAGACTACATCACTATCTAATATATTATACTGTTCTTTAAAGATCAAACCCAAAGAAGATAACCTTATGAGAATTTTACTTCATTTGTTTTAGAATTGTACTTTACCAGTTTAAAAAGCAGCATAATCGACATAAAATTGAATAAATTAGGAGGAATATATTTATTTAGGTCAATAACTACAAAGGTCATTAAAATTATGTGCAGATACCCTAAACACTATGCTTAACACCAAACATCACAAGAGATTAGACACTGTATAAGTAGCAAAAATAAAAACAAAAAATTGAGCTCTTCTAAGGAGCAAATTTAGCCAAACTTAAGCATTATTATAAAATATAAACCTTTGAATAACTAATCCATTGTATGTGGTAAATACCATTTTCAGAGAAAGCAAACTCCTTCTTGCCATGGCTTCAAAAAGAATGATCCTGATAGAAAAGTAAAACCGGGCCAGATATTTTATTTCCCTTTCTAAAAAACAAAAATAATTGGTTGCTTGTCTGCCAACTAGCGTAGTCTTTGAAATGCTGAACATGTTATTGGCTCTTTGATTCAGTCTTTTCTTTTTGTGAAAGGAGATTTTACTTTTAGTAAATAACAGAGATATCATGGTCAATCTGATAAAATGTCAATATTAGTCAAATAATGCCTAGGTTATTGTGGGTCTACTTAATGTTGAAGTAAACAAAAAAGAAAACTGTAATTCAGTAAATTCAGAAAAGCATTGAGAAACAAATAGCAAAGAAATAGTACATTTATAGTTGGGTAAAGGCAACTGGTTGGTGTAACTATATTCAACTAATATATGCAACTCTCTGTGCTTGAAGTCTGTGCAACTCATTTTACTGTTTTCTTTGTCCTTACAAAGCCTCTGCTTCACCTCCAGTGTAAATAGGGAGTGAAATGGACTCTGCATCCCCTCCAGGCCTGAGCAGTGGACCCTGAGAGTTTGCTAGAATACACTGCAGTGTGGAAGGAGCTGTCATCAGCTTTGATATGTGATAAGCTGGCTTTAGAAATGTCACAATGTGCCTTCACAGTAACATAGGTAACTCGATTTTTTTAAGCCTCTAAAATTTTAGGAACTCACATTTCTTAAATATCATTTGCCAGATTATTTTTGCTTTGCTAAATAATATACAGTGAATCTTGGACCTTAACCTCCTTAGCCTGCGACTAGAACCATAGGAATCACTAGCCATGGGCCAGTGGCTTCCTATCAACAGCTCCTGACTAGAGTTAGGCAGAGATGGCACCAGTTCTTGAAGGAACGTGATGTTAATTCTCATCAAAATGAAATAACATCCTAGCTACTCAGGAAGCTGAGGCAGGAGGATTGCAAAGTTTGAGGCCAGCATTGGGAACTTCACAAGATCATGCCTCAAAGTTAAAAAAATAATGATTATGAACTGGGGCTATAGGACAGCTGCCTCACACTGCTGAGCTCCTCAGCTCAACCCCCACACAAAGTAGCACTCTGTTACCTCCTGTCATCCTTAAATCATTTCTATAAATTTGTTGTAAAGTGCTTTTAAGGCCACACTTCAAACAGGTTTGAGGTTAGGGAATTCACCTATGTAGAATGTTCACTTTCAAACAGTCCTGCTTGTTAGAGAATTACTATTCTGAGGTCCATAATGAAATTATGTTTCCATTCATCTCATATCTTTTCTATGTATTTCTAAGCGTGTGCACTTAAAATTAACCTTTTATAAAGAGAACTATCCCAAGCCCCATACCAGATCCTACCAGAAAAACTGAATCTATGAACATAAATAAACTATCTAAAGGACCTGGGCACAGAGATGACTTCCAATTGAAATGTTATATTATCATCAGTCCAAAAGAAAGCAGCATACAACAGGGGTGGCGATAGTAGATTCACAGAATTCAGTTCATATCATAGTCAGGCCAAACAATTTGGTTTCAGAATACAGGAGTAATAACTGATGGATCTATGTATTGTTTAGCACCACAGTGCAAAATGATAACATCGGCCTGATGATTTAGTAAAAAAGCATTTAAAGGGCTCAACTGGCACAGCAGTATTATACAAACACTAAAAATCAGGGGCATGAGGTAGGTAATGACTTTACACCTTTATACTTAGAACTACACAGAAGCATGAATGAATTACATGCCTGAGAAATAAGAATTTAAATGTTCAAGAAAAAAAAAAAAAAACCACCTCCGTGAACTGAGCAACAGTCATTTTTTCTGTGAAGTCCTTCTTAATTCTTACCTCAGTGAACTATCAGGAGAACTGTTGGATAGATACCACATTCTGCAGGAGAGCTCACTTTGCTGCTGGCCCAGTGGAGGCTGGAGAGCCATGGTAGTTGTCATTAGGTTTCTACAGTCGTGTGTGCAGCAAGGACTCCCCTGTGATGAGTCTACCCACAAGTCCCTGGGGCACTGCACCATGCAGCACATCTAAGTAGGTGGGCCATGGTGGGAACGATTCTATTACTTTTTCTTAAACATTTCTTCAAGATCATTTCCTCTGTGTAATCTATTCATGCTTCTGTGTAGTTCTAAGTATAAAGGTGCAAAGGCATTACCTACCTTATGCCCCTGATCTTTAGTGTTTGCATAAGACTGCCATGCCAGTTGAGCCCTTCAAATGCTTTTTTACTAAATCATCTTCTACTTACCAAACCCTTTCTTCCTCACCAGATACTTTTTTCTTACCAAAATAGATCAAGCACTCCTGAGAAACAACACTATTCTCTTCTGATGGAATCACTTCCCTCCACACAGCCTATTATTCCTTTGGGAAGCCGAAAGCCTTTCACTTTTCTGACTCTGTCTGCTGTCCCTCCCTGCCCATAATCATGCAATAGAAGTCATTTTCACACCTGCCCATATTTTAAGCTCTCAGGCACTCTTGCAAAAAAAAAAAAAAAAAAAAACTTCCCTAAAAGAATATATTTTAGTCACACATCAACCCATAGCTTTTAGCAAATCAATTCACCTGAGTTTTAAAAAAGTACTATTAAATGTGTACCACTTATCTTTTTAATATTCATATGCCAGGGAGTAATCTCTACACTCTCCACCAGTACATTGCGGACAATTTCCAGAGCCTACTATGCATAGCATGCCTATTTAACAGTTGCTAAATTATGAAATAAATAAAATTAGCATCATTTCTTCATTCTGGAACTAGTGTATCTGTGATCACAAAATATCTCAGTCAACCAGAGCTACATTAACTACTGGTAACTATTAGAATGATCAATGCATTTGCAAAAGAGGATCACTGCATAATTATGCTGTAGGACCATTGGATAATAATAATCTATCAATGTTTTTATAGAGACAAGGTAAAAGGCAACAATTAAGAATTATAAATGCAAACTGGTGCAAAGTAAGTAAGTCCTGGGGTATAGTGCCTGTGACTTTCCAACATCCATAATTAGATTTCTATTTTTGTTTTTCCTTGCCAGATCCTGAGAGGTGCATGCCGTGCTGTGTTCTCATTCAGTATTTTTGCACAGATAGGAAAAGGCAGCCTAATTGCATATATCACAAATGCTGAAGAATTCCAAGTCCCAAATATGTGGCTAAAAAAATAACAGATGCATTTACTGACACAAGCCATATGATACACGGAGAGTAATAATGGAACCTACCCATCGAATCCCTGGAGCTCACATTCCTGAAGCAGGGACAGTGCATGGCCCTTATATTCTGTTACTGTTGAAAAAAAACACACACACAAGAGCAAGTTTCCAATAGTGATCTGTATCTTTTTAACTTGGTTTGGCAAAAGAATATGATTAACATATGGCCAGGACATAAAACAACATTTATTCTTGAATATTTATATTTTAATCATAGGAAAGAGGATTAAATGTTAGTTGCCTGGTGTGTTTTATAGCTTTATGTAAAAGAGGGTCACCTATTTGTTCCAACTACATAAATTATCTGAGGATACCCAACACACAGTGCTTAGAGAATTTATCTTGGTGCCTGATCTGTTTAGTATTCACAAAATAAGACACGAGTCTTTTAAATCAGAAGCTGAGGAGCAGAAGTATTTTGAAAATACAGCACATTAGCTGGCATCAGACAGTCAATGTTAAATCGCTTTGGCAACTTTACATGCATAGATTAGTGGAAAGGTTGGTGTAAGATTTACACACCAGAAGAATGTGAATCTGGAACTGATAGGCAAAAGAAAAAAAAAAAAAGAAGTTGGATGTGAAAATACAAAGTCAAGCCAACATCCATGATCAGAAGAGACCCCCACTGCAAGGAGGGTGGTGCATAGGCCCACCGCAGCCCGCGTCCTCCGAGGAAATGAATCTGTCACACTGTACTGCTGTCTCCACGGCCACTGATGCCCTATGCAGTGTTGCAAATGCCAATGAAGACAGGATAAACGGGCACGCTGCAGATGGCACCACGCATCACAGCCACACTTAGCATCGTCTAGGGCAGCTCTGCCAGAAGAGGCAGGCCAGCTGTACCCACCCATCAAAGATTTCTGCTGACTGACATGACACTGCAGATGGAATTTTTGTGTAAGAATGTGCATCATGATATGCAAGATTACATTAATCTTTCATGCCTGTCTGTCCCTGGTGCCAGTAGGGCTCAAGCTTTTCCTATAATGTTTTTAGATATTGCTAAAAATTATTAGTCTTGGTGTCTAAGAGAATCATTCTGTATCCAGCAGTGTTACATTATAATTCTCCCATAGCCTGCTCAAAAGCTGTTAACACTCAGATGGTAAAACCATTCTCTATTAAATTCTAATCAGGGAAAAGTATAATTAAATATAAAATATTAATATTAATAAACTTGGAAGATTACATTATCATAAAAGATGTGTCATTTGTGGCCACAGCAAGTAGTTGTAACCATATGATGCAAAAAATAAAATTTCTCTCTCTCCCTCACACTCTCTCTCTTCTCTCTCTCTCTCTCCCTCTCTCTCTCTCTCTCTCTCTCTCTCTCTCTCTCTCTCTCTCACACACACACACACACACACACACACACACACAAGACATGAAGAGATATATATGTTGAAAGTTGATGTATCAAGTTTTGATGCTATGCCAAATCTTACTTTGTAAACCTTTTCAAGTGAAATACAAAATTGACCTTAGAATTATGTTGTGACTGAATGTCATTTTTATTTAGAAAAAAAATTAATGTTTTTATCATTCAGATAGAATTTGACTATACAGTCAGTAAGGCATGCTGTCCATGAATAGAATATTCATGCAATGTGTCATAAGTTAAAGAAAATTATTGAAGTGGAGCAAAAAGACAGAATAAATGAACAAAACTTAAACACAGTTATCAAACATCATAAAGGAAAATGATAAAAGTGAATCCTGCCTTTGGACTTAAGGAGTCCACAGCCTGGAGACCCCAGTATGCCCTTTGTGGGCTGGAGGTCTAGATCCCTGCTGTGCCTTGGTCTCTGGACACAGTCCCTGCTGCTGGGGTCCCCTTTCTTCAGCAAAAAATATTTTTCCCTTAGGAATACAAAACCCAAGGATAGTAATGTTGAGTCTGACTTTGAATGTTGGAACTGAATTTGAAATAAAACCAGATGAGATTTGATTTGGACACAGAAAAAAAAGTATTGGTCCAGTGATAAAACTCTGAGATAAGATACTGAGGTATCTTTTTTTCTTTCTCTTTTTAATGTATTTGGTTATTACAGGGTCACACTATGCAGCTTGTATTCATAGTGATCCTCCTTGTTTCAATCTCCCTAGTGCTGGGATTACAGGCATGCATCACTATGCCCAGACTCTGGCCAGCTCAGCCTGCCCTGAGAGGTGGTACTGGCATGGCACACTGTGCTGGGATTGAACCTCTGTCCCTGCGCTTGCCTATGCAGGTGCTTTAGTCTGCTGAGCTATCTCGCTGGCCCTGAGATATCATTTTCTTTTCTGTCCTAAAGTTATCTCAAACTTTGTAAGCTCAAAATGTCCTGCTTCAACTGTCTTTTCTCTCAAATATTATTTTGTGTGTGTGCTCCAGCTCTCTTCCATCCAGTCTGATACCCACTCCATGGCCAGGACTGACATTTGCATCTTTACTTACACTGCAGCATCCCTCCATCCCTCAAGGTCAGCGCTCCTGGCCTGGCCATGAGCATCTTTCATGTGTTCCTTGCGCTCTCCTCCAGTCTCCTTCCGACTTCCATTCCTCTGTAGCCACAGTGATTTCTATAAGCATATTTAACAATGCTGCTTCCTCATAGAAGCCCCACAGATGGTTCTTCCTATCTCCAATGATAAAATTTCCAACTTCTTACCCCACATGTGAGGGCCGAAGACAGAACTGGTCATATATACTCACGATTATATAAGGGGTAAGAAAACCACTTTGGACATACAATTTTATCTCTCTTTAGCTGTATTATTATATCTGAAAGTTACTATGCAGATTTGTATTAAATGCAAGTAAAATAAAAAGAGGAAAGCCTTCGACCAAGTGAGGGAGACCCTTTTAGACCTTTCAGTGAGACAAACTGCCTACCGAGGCACGGATGCCACAGGTTCACCACCGCCTTAGACTACACATACCTCTCCTGACTCAATTTCATCAGGTTGCCGAGTTTTGTGCTGGCAATATCAGGAATGGAAGAGGCATTTCCAATGAATGGGAAGCTTCAACTTGAGTCATAAAGAGCCAAAGGGAATAAACACATGGAGATTTGGTAAAAGGAGTAAGTTAAAAGCATCCTGCTAGAAGAAGAAAAAGATGCAAAGTAACCAACACAAAAGTAAAAAGTCAGTAATGCACCCTGACAATGAATAGAATTTCCAAAATGAAAACATCTACCTACTGGGCCGTTGTGGCCAAGAGATAACACTGTCTGGTGACCAGGCACCGCTATTGCCCTGCGCTGGCAGAGACCACAGCTGCACTCAGAAAAGCATCTTTTCCCATGATAGTGACAAGGACCACGACAAGGTCTGGTGCCTTTGTTAATGCACAGGATGACTGAAGGCAGCAGATGCACATTTGATGGACAAGAGAGACTAGGAGCAGACAGCTAGGTACGGTACCTGTCAGCAAATGTTTCAATGGCATACACATAAGACAGGATACACTCATTGTGTGCTACTACAAGGACAACGTTAGCTGCAACCGACAATAATTACAAATGTTAACTCTCAAGTTATCTGTGACGTGCAGTTTATGCCTACCACAAGGGCTATGGCCTAGGGCACAGGTGGATTTGTACTGTAGCTGGTGAACTTGGGCTGACTCAGTTCAGAAGAAGGGTGTCTTGTGAGCCCAGAGGAGGCACCTTGTCTATGTAGACAAAGACTCAGGAAAACAGGACATAAGAATTCAGAGAGAAGTGCACATGAAGGCGACCTACCCCCCAGTGCATGCCACACCCGGGCTGGGGGTGAAGGGCACCCCAAAGTGTACTGCACATACGAGGAAAACAAGCTATATCCCAGGACTTCTTGGGCTGACTCTTCTCTCTGCTGCCTTAGCCTTTTTACTTATTGATCTATGAATTATCCTATGAACCATGGTCCTCTCAAAACAATCTGCGAAATCTGCTTTACTCTCTGGGAATGAGGGAAAGAAACTGTATCGTACACCAGCATGGATTTCTCACTCATACTCCTCTTTGATTCTTTTTTTTTTTGCGGAACCGGGGATTGAACTCAGGCCCTTGCGCTTGCCAGCGAAGCGCTTATTCCACTGAGCCATCTCCCCGGCCCCCCTCTTCTTTGATTCTTATACTAATAGGCTAGTAGAACAAATAATTTTGTTTTCCCTACAATTTTTAAGCAATTTTTCTAATGTCATTATAAGATAAGGAGCTACACTGGAATGTGTATGAGAGCACAGGTCAAATGAAATTTTAGCTTACAGATGCAATTTTAGTTTAAATTTCAGTCAAAACATGATGCATATTTAGTCAGGCTTTGAGCACAGTCTAAAATTAAAGAAGTAAATTTTAAGGAGCGTGGTAAAATTATCAAAAGAAATTTATGGGAAAATTTCACACACACACACACACACACACACACGGATACATTCCATACATATGCAGTTTTTCAAATCAAAGTTCATATTGCCACAGCACTCTATCATTAATGAGCCATCATATAGAATTTATTGTGTTATTTATATTATATTAGAACTCATAGGCATGGTGACTCCAGCATTCCTGAGGCAGAAGCAGGAGGATCCCTGAGAGTTCAAGGCCAGCCTGGGCTACATGCTGATTTCAAGGCCAGCCTGAAATACAGAGCAAAACCTTGTCTCAAAAAAAGAAAAACAGGACTGGGGAGATAGCCCAGCAGTCCAAGCGTCTGCCTGGCAAGCTCAAGGAGCTGGGTTCAAACCCCAGAAACAAAACTGGGTGTGGTGGCGTATGCCTGTAATCCCGGCACTGGGGAGGCTGAGACAGGAAAATCACTACAGCTGGGGCTGCATAGGAAGATCCTGTATCAAATAATTAATTAAAATTTTTAAAAAGCAAAACAAAAAACATCACTAATGCAAAAAATGTTAAAATATTGGACACGCAGAAGCGATATACCCTTGCATTGCTCTTCATGTACCTTTCAGGTTAAATGTGAATTGAATCCTATTATATAATGTCAGGAAAATGAAAAGCCTTACAACTATATTCCTGTTGTACTTTATATATACATAGTTGTTTCAGAAAAGCACTATATAGTAGGAGAAAAGGTCCAATCTCCTACTATAGGCAGGAGGACTAAAATTTTTCAAGTACCCTTGTGTTTTTATGCGGGCTACACAAAACAGGAAACCTCTACGTAAACCTCTAGCCAACGCAGTATACTGAAGTGGTTTCCTAAGCAAAGGATGTAATTTTGTAATTTTACCTATAGGAGGAGTGTTAGGCCACTGATATTTAGCCATTGTGCACAAAACACAAAAATAAATTCTGTATTTGCTTTATCTACTTTGCTTCATATTAAATGAAATGTAATATAATCTTTGGAAGCTCAGGGGAAAACTCAGAGCACACTACTTTTCTCTCCAGTACGCTTGTAGGAGACAAACACTGCTGTCGCCCCCTCTGCCATGGTTTCGGCCTCGTGTACTCGTTTCCTCTTCTCTGAATCTCTCCCTTTCTAATTTCTATTCTGTGGTTGTGATCATCTCTGCCAAACCAGGTTACAATGAAATGATGAAACATAGTAAATAAACTGCTGAGAACGGCATACAGGTCCATCTGTCATGGGACCCAGGCCTTCTCTGAGGGGCTATTTTGCCCTCTTCCTGCTGGAATCCAGAAATAGCTCAGACTACTCCAATCTTCAGGAGAAGGGGCCCTGGCCTGAGTTCCTGGGAAGAGTCCTGGCAGCTCAGGAAATGGTTTCCTAGCTTGGCGGCCATACCACATGAGCATGGTTAGCGGAAAAACAAACGTGGATGGACCTCAGGACGAGAGCACAGCAGATATCCCTCTGTCACACACATGTATGACCTTTCCCCATCTCACCAGGGGTGGAAAGAAAAGGTCTAATCTACAGGCAGCTTCTAGTGATGATGGAAGGAGCCAGATTTAAGATGCAGTCAAAATTGGAAAGCAAGGTTATGAAACAAATCCCCTAGATACCGTGAGTTCAGTCCTCTTACTCTCGCCCTTCACTGGTACATGCTTCCTACACTTCCTTTCCATATTTTTTGCCTTTCTTTATAAAATCATCTATTTTGCATGCTTTTCTGAGGCCTCTAACAAAAACGAATACTATCTTGAGATGCTGTAGTTCTTTTGTGTATGCTATCACTTAAGCATGTAGCATTAAGTATCTGTTTGAATTCCTAATGTCCTAAAAGTAACTCAAGATTGGATATGATTCATCCTGTATTCTGCATATTACCACAATTTTTAAGACAGAGAAAGCATTTAATGACAATCTTCTTCTTCCCCTTCCTCCTTGTTCTCCTCTTTTCTTTTCTTTTTTTTTTTAAGCATGGTTTCACTGTGTTGTGTAGGCTGGTCTTCAACTCCAGGGTTTAGGTGATTGTCCTGCCTCGGCCTCCAGAATAGAGCTGGGCATACAGGTATGTGATTTCATGTGAGGTTCCAATGAGAGAGTCTTGAATGACTGATACATGCTGCACTAATGTCTGTGTCAAACTGTAATGTACACATATGAAAGATACCCAATATTTGATGTGCCTGTGTTGCCAAAGAAGTGTATCCAACTTTTACTTTCTCATCCAAATAAGAATCTCCAATGTATTTAGCCAATCTTTGAAAAATCACTTGTAGAAAGCAAAACTCTGAAATTTCTCTTGTCTTGTAAATCATCTATAAACCAGCCAGAGGTCACAACATGGAAGGCTGAGTTCTTAAGCCTGGCTTTCTTTTAATTCAGAATTTCTTCCCGAGTTTTGCATGGCAGTTTCTCTTTACCTTCTGCTGTAATAATATCTTTGGGTACAGCTGCCCTTCCCACAAACCTTCCATTCTTTTAGGAACTTGCTTCCACCCCAACCCATCAGGTATTATCTAGACTGTGAGTTACATCTCCATCAGAAAAGTCAGGTCTCTTTGCAGCTGTCACCCTTCTCACTGGGACCGAAAAACCCCAATGCACTCTGGGATTATATCCTGAGTATGATTAGAACTCAATAGTCTTCATTAATTCATTTTTCCCCAATTTCCACAGAAGAGCTCCACAGAATGAACACGAGAAGACTTCATTCTCCATAGCAGCAACGCTTCCCAGTCTCTAGCACAGGACGCCTCAAGGCAGCAACGAAAATTGGTCACTAAATTTACAAAGCCTAAGTGGACAGGATGTCACTAATCTTCTTTCTGTTAATGTTTGCATTCTCAAATTTCTGTTTGGCTTCACACAAAGCTCAGTGCAGTCTTCTGGACAATATATTTAAGCTTCTGGTTTCTCCAAATTCAACCTGAACCAGCAGCTGAGTGCTTGGTTTTGACCTAACCAGCAGGGGTCAGAGTCAGAACAAAAACAACCCAAGGAAGGCGTCCAGGGACAGGCAGTTGATGCGCGAGTGAAGTCCCTGCTTCCACACTACAGAAAGAACACATGAAGTGCAAGGTCCTCAGGAAGAAACGCGAAGTGAGGAGTTCACTTGAAAACCAAGTAACTGCTAAAGTCTGGAAAAGGTCTGAAGAAAAATGATGGAGGTTTTGATAAAATAGCACAATTAAACAACTCTTTTAGAGTGCCTGCAGCAGATTCCGGAAGCACCTAGAAAAGCTTTAGATATTGCAAGTTTAGGTGAAAAACAAATTCCAGTTAGCTTGCTTTGTAGTGTGTGTGTGTGTGTGTGTGTCTGTCTGTCTGTCTGTCTTTTAAATGGTGAACAATGTACTACAATAACTTACCTGTCACATCCGTCTCTATTCCTGCCAGCTTCAGCAGAGGCTCAACTTTCTCATAATAGACCTGGGAAGCTTCTTTTTTGTGACTTTGTGGATTAAGGAAAATTTTTAGTGACTTTGGTCTGCTTGAAAAACCTGAGAGGAAAAGGATAGTTAGAATGTCCTGTTACCATGTTTTCTTTCCCTTTAAAATGACACTGAAATCTATTATCAAACTTACTTAAATATACTTATAAATACTTAAATACAGTTTGCTAGTCTTACTCAAAATTTTTATGAGAGTGCACTTAATAAGGGTTTAACTCAAAAAAAGGTGGATGCTTTCTCAGTAGTGAGAGACATTTATTTTTCTTGAAAGAAATTACAAGCTACTACAAAGCATTTACTCTGTGAAGAGAGGTGTAATTAAAAGCAGCTTGGTGAATACTGGGCGGTGTTTGTGCATATTTACCAAAACACAGATGAAACTGTTCAGTGTCACCTTAGCGCTTGTTTCTGGAGGGAAGCATAAGAAAGAGAAGGCTCCTCTTCCTCTCCACAGACAAATGTGCTCATTATTGGAACCAGGCACCGCAGTGACCCCAGGGCTACTGACGCCTGACCTCTGAGGAGCCCGCAGCAGGCCTGGGGAAGCCAGGCTGGGTCACAATCAGTACCCAGGGCAAGGCATGCTGGGAGCCAGGAGGAGGGCTCAGGTCAGAGTTCACGCTGCAAAGGGGGGCCCGGGGAGAAAAAACTCCTCTCTTGGGAACCGGGAAAGCAACGACTCTCAGCAGGGAGCTGATGATGGCGCTGCCTCACAGTTGGAGCTGAGATTTGATACTACAATTTTCTGGGCTTGAAAGATGCTTATCACGGAGAACCCAGTTGGAGCAGGTGCAGGGCAAATTTTCTGCTGTTAGGAAGGGACAGGCGCCAGAAGCAAGCTGACAACCGTTTCTTTTATGGTAAGCTGCTCTCAGAGGGCCATGGTCCAAAGTCACAGGAGCAGTTCTTCACAATCCGTTTTTAATAAACCGTTACCAAAAAGAAGAGAAAATGCTCATTGTACCAAAGTCAGCCTTTCATGCCTCAAGTGGAGACAATGTTCTATCTCTCTGCATCTCCGAGCTAATAAAAATCTTCCAACAGCACATCCAGTGTGCTTTGACTCCAGGGGCAAGGGTGCATGAGGAAGAGGGAGGTCCTGCTGAACTCCTTAAATATTCCCCATGAAACAGGCCAGGGTTTGTTCTGAGAGGAATAGTACCTCGCAGTCCCTGGGGCAGCAGTCCCCCATGAGCACGCACCTTCCCCAGCGCTGTATGCCCGTGCATGCCCAGAGGTCGAGGCTGGTGACCGCCTGCTTCCCCGCTCCCACACCTCTCCATCCTCGGGTTCTGCAGTGCAGAGCCCCAGGCTGTTGTTCCTTCCCACCGCATCCTGTGCCTCACAGCCCCCTCACCGCCTCATCACCTCCTGTGGAGCAAGCATGAACCCCTAAGGTGACACTCTGAGACTGCTGTCCTCCACCCAAGGCCATCTCTTTTCTCCCTCACGCATATTCACCAGGCACTTGGCTTTGGAAGGAGGAGCACGCATTTACAACACTGAGCATGCTCCGGAGGAGGAAGGCATGACCACCGATCCAAACAGGCCAACACAGCGCTCCGGCAGCAGACAAACACATACTTCAATGGAAGGGTAGAGAGGGGCAGTTGGTTTTAACTCTGGTTCCGGAAAAGCTTCCGGAACAAGGAATGTTGGAGGGAGCTTTTGGCTTACGCTGCTTTCACTACCTTGAATTCTTTTTTCTTGTCCCATTTCATCTCACTTCTAAGATTACAGCAAAGGTAGAAATCCTTGGCAAAGGAAACAACCTAAGCAGCGCTTAGTCTGCCTGGCGGGCCTGGCGTCCATTCCTACTTCCTCGTCTCGGTCACTGCATTACTGCTGAACATCAAGGCTTCATGGCTTGCTTTCATTCAGGGTTTTTCCACCGCAGGCCTATTTTAATCAAAATTCTACGGCTTTTTCAAAGCTCAACTGCACATGCTCACGAATGACTCTTCTGGCTTCTCTTCTCCAAGTATGCCTGCTGCCTACTTCTTAAACTGTTGTATACAAAGAGTTTGGATGAAAGGCCCAATATTTTGAGACTTTCACTGGCCAATTCTGGGCCAGTACAAAATGCAATGGTACCAGTAACACAATGGGTAACACCAAACCCTTAAACACACAGTCCCATCAATAGCATTGACACTAACTAAATGAAAGATGAAAAGGGGAAAATCAGTCTTATAGAAAAATAGCAATAAATAATCCATCTTGTAGTAAAATAAATATGTAAGGGTGATAGAGTTTTAAAAATCGCTTGTTAGTCATCAAAATAATAACTGATTTAGGCAAGAAATAAACAATGGTTGTGAAAACCACTTGGTGAGAATCCACTTGGAATAAAATATCTACACATTCTTAAATTCTGTCCCTTCTCATTCCTTTTACTCCCTTTAAAATTGACTAAAAAGGTGACCACTAGGTGTAACATGTGATTCAAGTCAGGTTAAAAAAAAAAAAAAAAAGACTGCTCTAAAGGACAGTATTACTGTCCTTTAACCAAGGGGGAGTAAGTAGATAAAGCTCAGGGCTATGTGTATATTCAAATATAACAGAGACAAAAATATTAAAGCCATGGGGCCGAGGAGATGGCTCAGTAGAATAAATGCTTACCTGGCAAGCACAAGATCCTGAGTTCAATCCCCAGTTCCAAAAAAAAAAAAAAAATATTAAAGCTATAAACTCCAGACATGAAACATCATCAGATGAAATACCTGGATTGTTTACCTGATACACTTTTCACTCTATTTACACTACTGAAATATTTTTAAACTAGTTCATTTTTTCAAGAAGAGGCAGGCAGGGTTTGATCGCCAGCTTGCCGTGCTGCCCCCCAACCTGGGGCGCGCTGAGGTGGTGGTTGAGACTGGGCATGGTGGTATGCACCTGTAATCCCAGCGCTTGGGAGGCTGAGAACAGGAGGACCACTATGAGTTTGATCTGTATAGTGAGACCCTGTAGACCCTGTACTAAATATACAATGACAACGAGGAGGAGGAGGAGGAGGAGGAGGAGGAGGAGGAGGTTACAGAAAGGACACTGGTATCACAGACAGCACTTTTATTTCTTCCTTTTCCTCCCTTGATCTTTTTTCACAAGTCAGTGCATCCTGGTACGTGCCAGGCAGGGTCCTAGAAACTGAGGCTGACAGAAGAGCCTCTAGCTTTCTGATGCTTCCTTGTCACAGCAGGAGACAGCAACAAATAAGAACTGAGAGTAGTCCAGGGAGTGCTGAGTTCTAAACAAAAAACCATCAAGCTCAGCAGTGGATGGGAAGGGAGGCGAAGGTGGAAGTGACATCCTAAGCAAGGAAGGCCAGAAGTCTCAGGGTCACTCTAGGACGCTCTCTTCCATTGTGTTCAGAGAAACATGGAGCGACACCACCTCTGGCTGCTGTATGGGCAGATCCAAGAACTGACCCAGTAAAAAACAGCTCCAAGGTCCGAGCTGGGAAACGACTGTTCTTCGGCTGGAATGGGTACAGCTGAGGGTGTAAGAAAAGTCAGAGTCTAGATATATGTTGAAGGTGGGCTGACCAGAACAACTGACTGTTTCCACACAGTATTTGAAAGAAAAATGTCAAAGAGCAGTCAAATGGTGGTTGGATAAAGGCAACAAGAGGATATAAAATGAAAAAAAAAAAAAACCAGCTGACTAGTAGACTAGTGCCAAATGGCCAGAGTTGGGGTTGAAGATTTTAGAAATGCCAGGAGCTGATCCAGTGGGCTAGAAGACCAAATGCAGCAGTGGGAGGGGAGATGCCTGAAACTGAGTCTACAACAGAAGGATATGAAGAAGGGATGCTCATTGCAATAGATGGAAAAGCTTGTGCTTCTTAAAGCAGAATGAGGGCCCCTGTCCCAAGTTTGGGCCAGAGATGGGATCCATTCTAATCGCAACTTATGCTGATATCAGTCTAGGAACTGAGCTTGGAGAGCCTAAGCTTTTCCAGGATGAATAAAGAAGTGGAAGAAGTAAATTGTAAGTCAAGGTCTGTGAAGGACAGAAAACCAAACACAGAGAGACCATTTACAATGAACACAAGAGGAGCCAGTGACAGTGACAGGGAGACAGTGGCTTATGTTCACAAGGAATAAAAAGGACATACGGGATCACAAGAAGTGCCAGCTAAAGGTGTTGGATCAGTGGCAGAAAGCATAGCAGAGAAAACCACCACCATTTAAGAGGACACTCAAGAAAGCTTAAAGCCTTTGAGAAAGCTGAGGCTCTGATGTACGCAAACAAGCAAGTGACTAGTTGAAAAAGTGGTTGAAGACACAGATTTTGCTAATAAGTATTGTTCACTCCAGAGTGCAGGGTACAATGCTGTCTGTTATTGAGGAGATCAGGGGAGAGGGTCTGGTAAGAGGATACCCAGCAATAGGGGTCCAGGTGAAGAAAAGCCTAGGCATTGACAAGCATTGCCTCCTTTAGCCCCTTCCCTGCTACCTAGGTCCCCTCTTGGGAAGCAAGCGCTGATAACACTTTGAGAACCCTTCCAGAAATATCCTCAAAATACACCAACATGTGTATATTCTGTAGACTTGCATGTAGACAGGATCAGCCATGCACACCTTTATATGACTTTTTTCTCTTACTATCCTTATTTTAAAGACAACTTCACATGACTACATGGAATTCTATCTCACATTTAACATGTATTTTCTGGCATGGGTGAATCTCAACTTATTAACCAATCCCCTAGGGCAGATATCTCAATTGCTTCCGATCTCCAAGCAATACTGAAATGACTATTATTTGCATCTGAAATAGAAAAACTATAGGATGCATTTCTAGAATTAAATTCATTGAATCAAGGGGCTTTGAGATTTATCATACACTGTAAATCTTAGGGCATAGAAACAATTTAAAAGTTATGACCCTTCCTCCTCCAAAAAAGAGTGGAACTCTGAATAAATCTTAACTGGTCTTGAATACAGTCTGCCTTATACAAATAGCATCCCAGTTTCTTCAATTTCCTCATTGTAATATGGGAATGATAACAGTATTTTCTGCATAAAGTAACTACAACAAATAAA